TCCGTGCTGCTTGCAGAATCTCGGCGAACTGTTGTGCGCGTGGAACGGGATTGTCGGGATTCGGTGTCATGGGTACTGTTGGGTCCTGTTCGTAGTTCAAGTAAAATGGCGACTGTTGGGTCGTGGCGGATGGCGCGTTGTTGTACGCAAACTCGATGAGAGGCAGCTGCTGTTCCCACGTGTTTGGATCGTTGCACGTGGCTCGAATCAGCTGCTCCATGGTCTGGTTTGTCCGTTCTGTCTGTCCGTCGGTTTCGGGGTGGTAGGATGAACTGAATTGAAGTCGCGTGCCGAACTGCTGCCATAGGTTCCGCCAGAAATTACTGGTAAACTTCGTGTCCCTGTCGCTGATGATCGACGCTGGTATCCCGTGCAGTCGAACGACGGTGGTGATGAAGAGTCGGGCTGTTTCCTCGGCTGTGATTGATTTCCTGCATGCTGCGAAATGCGCCATTTTCGTTAGTCGATCGACGACGACCAGGATCGCGTCATTCCCACTCGCCCCAGCCGGTAAACCCGTGACGAAGTCCATCGTCACCTGCTGCCAAGCACGCTCTGGGGGTGGGATTGGTTGCAATTGTCCCGCCGGCCGCTTCCTGCTTGACTTCATGAGCTGGCAAGTGGGACACGATGCCACGTGTCGTTGCACGTCGGTCAACATTTCCGGCCACTAGTAGTACCGCTGCAGCTGCTGCCGTGTTTTTTCTACTCTGAAATGTCCCGAGGTAACTCCGTCGTGTGCTTCCTGTAACAGTAGTTCCCGTAGTAGCGTGTATCCTGGTACCCAGATGCGGTCGGTTCCGGCTTTTACGTAATAGACTCCCTTGGCTGCTGCGAATTGCTGTGAGTTTCCTCCTGTGAAGAACGGGTCTGTTTGATATCCATGGGTAAATAGTCCTGTCAGTAATGGGCTGGTCTGGGTGAGTAGTATCGCGTGGATTTGGGCAGTGGGGCGGGTCAGTGCGTCAGCGATATTGGAGGCTCCTTTTTTATATGTGACCGTATAGTGAAAATTCGACTCGAGGAAGTCGAGCCATCAAATCTGTCGTGGGTTGAGGTGGGGCTGTGCGCGAAGGTACTGTAGGGATCGATGGTCTGTCCGTACTGTCACGTCTGCGCCGGTCAAGTAGCAGCGCCACACTTTGAATGCATGCACGATCGCAAGCATTTCGCGGTCGTGTATCGGGTAATTTCGCTCAGGTGGATGGAGCTTGCGTGATTCGTAAGCGATGGGTTGGAGGCCGTTGCCGAAGTCCTGTAACAGTACAGCTCCGATGGCGATGTCGCTCGCGTCGGTAACAACTTCGAAGGGGCGGTGTGGGTCAGCGATGCGTAGGACGGGTGGTGAACAGAGAACATTTTTTAGGGCAGAGAAGGCAGCATGCTCTTTCTCCCCCCACGTAAAAGGGACCCCCTTACGCAGTAAATCACTGAGCGGGGCTGTTAAGCGTGCCATGTCGGGGACGAATCGACGAACGTAATTAACAAACCCTAAAAAACTCTGCAGTTCCGTGATGTTCGTCGGGGGACGCCACGCTTTTACCGTATCCAGCTTCCTAGGGTCAATCTCAACCCCAGCCCCCGAAATGACGTGACCTAAAAACTCTAGTCTGTCCCGAAAAAACTCGCACTTGGAGCCCTTGGTTAATAACCGATGTGCCTCTAAAATTTTAAAAACTGCTTCGAGATCTACTAAGTGCTGCTGCTGGTCCCGACTGTAAACGAGGATGTCGTCGAGGTAAACTATGACGCATTTATCTAAAAGTGGCCTAAACGCCTCGTTCATGGTCATCTGAAACGTTGCAGGCGCGTTGGTCAGCCCGAAAGGCATCACTGTGTACTCGAATGACCCGTACCTAGTCCGAAATGCTGTCTTGGCGCAGTCCGATGGTTCGACCCGAATTTGATGGTAACCTCCCCGTAAGTCTATTTTCGAAAATACTCGTGCGGTTCGCAGCTGGTCGATTAGTTCGTCGGCGCGGGGGATGGGGTATCGTGATTTGACTGTTACCCTGTTAAGCGCTCGGTAGTCGATGCACATTCGAAACCCTCCGTCTTTTTTTGGTGTGAACAGTATCGGTGCGGCGAACGGTACGAGCTCGGTCGAATAAACTGCTTCTCTAACAGGTAATCTAACTGCTTCCTTAGCTCGTCGAGCTCTGGCTGTGTCAGTCGGAACTGGCGCTGTACAGTTGGTTGTGCCCCCGGTTCTAACTCGATCCTATGGTCATGCGCCCGCTGAGGTGGCAGCCCTTGCGGTAAGTCATCCGGGAAGATACTCGGGAACCTTTTCAGTAATGCCTGTAGTTCGGGCGGTACGGTTGCCAACAGTTTCTGAAAATCACTCGGCTGCTCCTCTTTTTCAACTAATGCGATATCCACTGCGTACACGTCAGCTCCAGCAGCGACAGCCCGTTTCATCGTGATGGCGTTGACCCGGACCGTCGAAGACTCGGGTGGCTGCCAGCGAGGTAGGACGACCCAGTTACCACTACTTCGCACTGTGCAGCTACCCGTCGTCCAGTCAATTCGTGGGTTATACCGTCGCAGCCAATCACGTCCCAATAAAATGTCGTGCCCATCCAGTGTCGTTGCGAGCATTTCCTGTGTAAACCCGAAGTTCCCTCCGCAGCGGACTTTTACGCGTTCCACCTTTTCCCGTATGGCCAGTGGTGTTCCGTCGACTAAGCGTGCGTCTATCTCCGGTAAGCATCGGTTAAGTGTTAACTGTAATTTCCGTGCGGTTGCGGTATTATAAGCTGTGACTTGCTCCTCCGTCAATAAAAATCTTCACTGCTGCTCCCTGTATTTTCCCGTAGATTAGTACCGGGCAATCCGTCGCTGTACCCTCCTTATTCATCCGAGCCCGATCGATGGCATGAATCGGTACTGTGACTCGGTGAGGGTCGGTGTGGTTGGGCGAGCAGGCAGTCTCGTCAGTAGTTGGCCCAACTTCTACTGACTGCTGGCGTTTCCCTGCCTCTGAGACTCCCTCCCCTGCTCTGCTCCTCGGCGTCTCAGCTCCTCTGGGCATTCGCTCTTGCGATGGCCCGGCCTGTTGCAAGCAAAGCAGCGCCCCTTAAACGGTGCGGCAGCTGCATTCGTTGCGACGGCGTGTACAGTGGCGTGCTCGGTCGGTCCCCGAGGACGATGTCCGTAATAGGACCCCGGTCTCGTTCGGCGTAGAATGTCGATCTTCTCGGCGAGCGCAAGAATCTCGTTGAAGTTAGAGAGTCCGCGCAGCATTATCTCGTGCGAGATGTCCGGCTTCAGCCCTCCGACGTAACGGTCCACCCGCTCCGCTTCGTGCATATAGCCGACTTGCTCGCAAAGTGCGAGAAAACCGTTGGTGTAGTCTTGAACTGACCCGAGCTGGCGCCAAGTGCGCAGTTTCTGACGCGCCGAAATTGAAGCCGCGATCGGCTCAAAACGCGCCCGAAGCCCTGCGCACCACGCATCCCACGTGCTGTATTGGGCGGTCTCGCAGAACGAACTCCAGGTGACAGCTGGGCCCGAGGGCCCTTCCTCGTGCGACGGTGGCTCGTAGGCGCGTGGCGACGTCACGATGACTCGCCACCAGTCCATGGCGGGGCCCCTTTAGTAGTGAAACCACATACCGGATTTTTGCGGCGTTCGACTCGACGTAATTGGCGTCGAAGAAAACGTTCATCGTGAAGACCCACGATTGAACTGTCGGACCGCCGCGTTGACTTGGGTCGAAGCAGGGCGGACGTTGCGGCTTGAGCGGCATTGGTGCCATGTTGGAGTGTTCGCCACTTGTCGCCGCAAATTCCACGTGCCGACGGACTTCTCGAGGCTCCCGTGGGCTTGGTGCGATCCTGTTTCCTCCCATGCCAGGCATCGGCTGGGCGGCGCCCTCACTGGCTGCGCCTGAGCGTTGTCCCGTGCTGTCATGTTGTGTTGGTGTGCCGGACGAGATTACAATCGGCTCATCCGAATGTGCAGATGCGTTTGTTGGTGCGTGGGGTGTTGTCGGTACGTTCATCGTAGACTGTTGACGGGCGGAGTCACGTTCCGCCGTGAGAGTCGCGATTTCGAGCGCCGAGTCCTCCAGTTGACGCACGAGACGATCGAGTTGCTCTTGCGTCAATGTGGCGAGCGTGAAATCGGCCATGGCGGGGGTGTCGGGCAAGCTCAGCGAGAGCCTCGGTCGTGGCCGTGCGTGCTTGCGTGAGAGCACTACGAGCGGCGGCGCTGTATCGCTGAGAGACGTCTACCCCCCCCCAAAAATTGAGATAGTGGGGAAGCGAAGGTGTGGATGCGGTCCGAGATGGGATCGTAGGCTCTGAATACCAAGTGTTACGAGTGCAATTGAGTGAACGAACGAGAATTGCACTATCGAAGCAAGAGTACAATGAGCGAAGGTATGAGCGAAGAATATATAGCGAAACTACAGTGGTAACGGTAATGGTCTGTGGTAGTCGCGCGACGAGCCTGGGACTGAGGTTTGGGGAAGTGTCGAAGCGTAGGCCCGGAGCGCGGGTTACCAGCCGAGCCGTGAGGTCGGGATGCGATGTGCGAAAATGGCGGGATGAATATCGGTGCGATTATCGCGAGTGGTAACGGTGCTGACTGAGGTGCTACAGTGATGTACGCATTGAGCAGGGATGCGAAGTAAGGAAAAGGGAATTTCCTTAGAGTAGGCATGACTTGCTATCAAACATGATAGACGTGATATATGGTTTGAAATGGGAACGAATGAAAAAGTCCAGTTGGCAGAGTGGTGTGTTGATGAGTTGTACCCGTTGTAGAGTGGTTAGGACCAATGAACTTTGGTTCGAAAAAGGCATCACTTGTCCACCCTCATTGAGCCTCTAGCGCAAACCTCGGATCTTCCTTCACCAACGGCTCGACCTTGCCCGTTGATGCCGCTGCTGCGTACCGCCTTTGCTCTCCGTCCTCTACTGCGCCCGCCACACACCACACGACCGCTTTCCCGCCGCGCCCTTGCGCCTTCCACGCGCCTCAGCTCGTCAGCCATGCTTGCCCTCGGCGGGCCTCCCCGCCTTTCCCCCTCCGCATCGCCCGCGTCGGGCAAAGCCTTGTTGTCTGCCTCGATGCTTCACGCGCCCACCGCCCTCGCCGCTGCTTCGGCCCCGCATTCCCTTCTCACCTCGCGCCCGCGCCTCCTCTCCGCTTCCCTGTCCCTTTCGCGCTCCTCTCCCGACCCATCCGCCCGGCCCGCCCATGCTTTTTCATCTCTCTCAGCTTTCTCCTTCCTCCCCGCGGCCCTCTCTCTCCCCCGCCCGGCGCTTCTTTCCTCCCCCACGTCCGCTCTCTCCGCCAACCAATCGGTCCGCGCGTCGAGCACCGCCCCCGATGCCCCCTCGTCGCCCGAGCTCCTCTCGCCCCTCGAGCGACTGCGCGCGCGACAGCTACTCGAGTCGCTGCGGTCGCCCAACGACGCGTCTGCGACGTCGTCGAAACCCGCGCGGAAGCCGTCTTCTCAGGGCAAGGCGGTGGATGCGGAGGCGCGGGGAGGGGCGGAAGGCGCGGCGGGACCCGAGGCGGGGTTTCAGGAGCTGGGGCTGAGCGCGGAGCTGATCGGCGCAGTGCGCGAGTTGGGGCTGGGCGCGCCGACGGAGATCCAGCGCCTCGCCATTCCCGGCGCGCTGAGCGGGCGCGACGTGGTGGTGGCGTCGCACACGGGGTCGGGAAAAACCCTCGCGTACCTGCTGCCTGTCGTGCAGGTCAGCCGCGCGCCTTGCTGCCCGTAGGGTTTTAGAAACCGGGGTGGAGGGTTTGGGGCTTTGCGGGGTGCAGGGAGCATGTGTTGGGCTGTGGCGCGAGGGATGCGGGTGCGCGTGTCCGGAAAATTGCGCGCGAAAGGCTCGCGGGCGGTGTAGGTGCGCCGGTACAGGCGCTGAGCGGTGAACCAGTCACGCTGATATATCCCCCCCCCCTCCCTTCCCGCTTGTGTCTCGTGGCGTTCATGCGTGGCTGTATGTCATCGCATCATTCGCCTGCATGTCATGGCACGGCATGGCATGGGTTGATGGCATGGCATCAGATGATGCGAGCGGACGAGGCGGAGAGCGGGCGCAGCGATCGGTTGAAGCGGCCGCGCGCCATCGTGCTGTGCCCCACTCGCGAGCTCGCCGAGCAGGTGCGCTGCTGATGCCGCCGCCCTCCTGCTGCTGCCTGCCAGGGGGTGTGGGAAGCATAGGGGACAAGAGGAGGGAGTGGGGGGAGGAGGTGGTGTAGCGTGGGGTGAGGGGGATGAAGGCATTCACTTTCTCTCCTTTGTCCTGCACCCCACACACCACCAACGCCCTCTCTCGCTGCTCGCGACCAATCCACTACACGCCCTCACCACATCCCTGGGCTGTCCCCTTTCCCCCTGGCCCCTCTCTTTCCCCCTGGCCCCTCTCTTTCCCCTGGCTGACGTTCCCCCCCCGCGCGCAGGTGCTGCGCGTGGCCAAGTCGCTGTGCCACCACGCGCGGTTCCGTGCAGCCATGCTGTCAGGGGGGGCGAGCATGGCGGGGCAGCAGCAGCAGCTGCAGGCGTGGCCCGTGGACCTGCTCATCGCCACGCCCGGCCGCCTGCTGCAACACATGGCCGCCTCCTCGCTCTCCCTCTCCCTCGTTAAATACCTCGTGCGTGCCCCTCCTGACGCCCTCTCCCATGACCCCCGCTCTCCCCCTCCTCCCCCCACACCCCCCTCCCTTCCCCCCCTCACCTCTATCCCGTCCAGCTCTCCCTTTCAATGCCTGTCTCCATTCTTGTTGTCGCAGGGTGCCCACATCTGCTCCTATGTATTTATCCTCTTGCGCACGCCATGCGGCGCCCTCCTCACAACAGCAATGCGTCTTTGACAAGTGCTTGCCTCTCTGTGCTTCTCTGTGCCCCTCTGCACCTCTCTGCACCGTGCTATGCGGCAGGTGTTGGACGAGGCGGACACCATGTTTGACGCGGGCTTCGGGGCGGACATCAGGCGGCTGCTCAGGCCACTCAGGAAGAGGGGCGAGGTAGCGCCAGGGGGGCCAGCGCAGAGGACCTTTCAGACCGTGCTCGTCACCGCCACCATCACCAAGGTGCCCTGTTGCACGCCCTGCACTGCCTCCCTCCGCCTCTCCTTGCTCCTCCCGCCTCTCTCCTCGCTCCCCCTCGTCACTCTGCTAGTGACCATTGATTGTGGTTCATGTGTACTGGAAGCAAGACGCGCTCCACTGCCCCCCTCCCTGTGGTGCCACTGCCGTGTGTGTGTGCATGGCAGGCGGTGCAGCGGCTGCTGAACGAGGAGTTCCCGGGCATCACCCATCTGCACACGGCGTCGCTGCACCGCCGCCTGCCCTCCGCCACGCACCGCTTTGTGCCCGTCTCCGGCGCTGACAGCCGCCCCAACGCCCTGCTGCAGGTGCGCCCCCTCCCTGCCGCTCCTCCCCCGTCCGCCATGCAGTAAACATTCTTCTCACGCTCATCCTGCATCCACCACGCACAGTGCCACTGCCACCACCCTTTTTAGCTGTCAGGTGATCAATTCGCCTGGCCCCCCTTTCTCATGCGCCACCTCGCCGGCCCCTGCTTCGCTCCGCCCCTCTCCCCTCCCCTGCCTCATTCTTCCGCCATCCCCCCCACTTCCCCCTCTCCCCTCTTCCGGGAAGCAGCTGGTGCAGCCGCTGGTGGCGGGGGGGCAGCGGTGCATGGTGTTCTGCAACACGGTGCAGTCTTGCCGTGCTGTGGACCACTTCCTGTCCGAGGCCAACATCCTCACCACCAACTACCACGGCCAAGTGCCGCCCGAACACAGGTGCGCTGTGCTGCACTGCACCACACGACATGCCATGCGCCCACGCTGTGCCATTCCCTTGGTGTGTGTGCACGGCACCTGTGCACGGCACCTGTGCACTGCTTGGCCACCTACCGAACTTCCATTTCACATGAACCCGAACCTTAAATTCCTATCCTCTCTTTCTTGCTCTCCCATTCACACGCTCGCGTCTGCTGGCGGGCACAGGGCGGGCAACCTAGAGGCGTTCAGGAGCGGGGCGATGGGCGGGGAGGACGACGACCTGGGCATCGCACCCATGCTGCCCGACCGCTTCCATGACAGTGACTCCGACAGCGAGTGGGATGACGACTACGAGGCAGCGGCAGCAGCAGCGCCGCGCAGCAAGCAGCGGGCGGTGCAGCCGGTGCTGGTGTGCACTGACCTGGCGGCACGAGGGCTAGACCTGGTGGTGGACCATGTCATCAACTTCGACTTCCCCATCACTCCCGTACTGCTCCCTCCCCCTCACTCATCTCAACCCCCCACTTCCGTCCACTTTCTCCCCTGCTCACCTGCATGTTACACTTGCCGTCCCTGTCTGTCTCCCGTGCACCCGAATCCTGCCGTGTCTGTGACCTGATAAGTCCCCGTGACTGTGCGCGCGGTGGTGGTGCGTGGCAGGTGGACTATCTGCACCGTGCAGGCCGCACCGCCCGCATGGGGGCCAAGGGTGAGCTGGGGGGAAGAGGGGAGAGGGGGGGGGGGGGGGGGTTGGGGTTTGGTGGGAGCAGCAAGTGTTGTGAAGGATGTGGCACTTTAAGAGCCTGCTCCTTTTTTTGATTTAAAACATGTTGTAAGAGAGATGGCTGATGCCAGAAGAGAGGACGCAGCCATGCTTGTGCACTTGTGTGCGGTCACCGCAATCCTCTTTCCCACTCTCTTGTGTGCCCCGCGCATGTGCGCCATGTGTGTTTGTCTGTGCGTGTCCCTCCCCCAGGGCGTGTGACGACTCTGGTGTCGAAGCGCGACCAGCAGATGGCAATGCTGGTGGAGCGAGCGGTGGAGCGCGGTGAGCCGCTGGAGGGCATCGTGCGCGGCAGGGGAGGAGGGGGGGAAGGGGACAGGGGGGATGGGGGGGGCAGAGGGCCGCGTGGGGCCGGGGGCATGGGCAGAGGCATGGGGAGAGGGGGGCGAGGGGGGAGAGGAGGGAGGGACGGAAGACGGGGGGAGGTGCGGGAAGAGAGGGCAGGGGGTTGGGGAGGGTGGGGGGGAGGCAGGACAGGGATGCAGGGGGGCCGGGGGAGGGGAGGGGTTGGGAGGAGTGGGGGGTCACGGGGGCGATGATGGGGGTTGGGCGCTGACCTATCACAAGTAAGGGCGAGCACTGCCACTGTCTGTGTTGTATCGCCATTGCAGGGCCTGCCAGGCTGGCAGCATGTGAATGTGATGTGTTGTGCGTGGCGGAGGGCCGGGTGCTGCTGGGACGCGACAAGCATGTGCATGTGCATGTGCTGAGTGCGTGGCCCAAGTGGCAGCCTGCTTAGTGCCGGATGATGGACACCTATGTACGAGAGTGCTTGTGCTGGCTGGCAGCCTAACACAGTTTGCATGTTCACAGATCCGATTAGCACATGAGGTCAAGGATACTGCATTTCAATTACAGAAGTATACTTGAGAGTTCTGTCAAGGGTTGTTGCACTGGAGTGTGTGCACGAGTGCCGCACCCGGCATGTTACAGTGGGCAAGTTGAGGTGGCAGTGAATCTCATGCTGGTTGGTACATCAAACAATGCTATTGCATATGGTACTAGTGCCACACTAGCTTACCTACGCAGACCCTAGCAACCACAAGCACCGGTGGGTCATCTGGATGCACACAAGGGACACGCAGGCAGGCACACCCCCTGCTGCCTCGCTTCACACTGCCAGAGTGCCACCACTGCACACCACCTCATTCATCAGCACTTCTACTGCTGCCCGTCTGCCTCCCACTAGCTTGCCACTCGCTCTCTGCCCTGCATTTTATGACATCACTGCCCCTGGCCCATCACAAACCCTTTGCTCCTACTCGTTTATTATCTTCTCTTCTCCAAGCTTTTGCTCCCTTGTTCCTCTTCTCCATGTAACCTGTCTTCCTAGCCCGTGCTGGTTGTGCTTAACCCCTGCAGTGCCACTGCTCTGCTCAGGCATCTACATGCATCCGCTTGCTCCTCTCACCCCCTCCATCGCTCGCCCCACTGCCTGCGTGCACACACAGCAGGGCGCCATTCCACCTGAACTGCCTCCTCCAGAAGCACCAGTCCTGACCCCAATGAGGTGCAAGCCCGCATGTGGCACAGCCGCACAGCCGCAGCAGCAGAATGCACCCCACCCGCACATCTCAGCAGGTGCCAGTGACCAGCGGACAGCCATGGTGAGCCGCACATGTGCAAGGGCAGCAGGACAGTTGCACGGGGCAGAGCAGGTGATAGCTGGAGGGGCATGGAGGCGAGAACGCTAGGACTTGTCGTGGCGTGGGAGGAGTCACATGGAGGTGGCGAAGGGCACGGCTCCGCGGCCCAGCAGGAAGGACTTGAGCACCATGCGCTCTATGCCGTCTGGCGTCCACTGGTACGTTGATATGTCCGTTAGCACGTCCCTGCACCCCCACGCGTGCATGCAAGGCACCAGATCACACAGGCATCCATATACAGGTGAGCGGGAACAGCAAAGACACCAGAAGGCTCCAGGCAGCAGGGCAGTGCGGCAGCAAGGAGCCCAGAAGCACCTCAGAAGCACCTCAGAAGCACCTCAGAAGCACCTCAGAAGCATGATCCTGTGCTACCAGGCCAAAACACACAGGGGTGTGGGTGTGGGAGCGGGAGGGAGGGAGGGCGCACCGGTGGGGGGTGAGGAAGTCCATGTAGTGGTCCTTGATGGAGGCGCCGAGCAGGCGGCGCACCTCCTTGCGGCTCTTGTCATCCGTGATCACCCAGTCCTTCTGCTGCAACGCCAGCTCCTCAAACAGTCGGTTGAACCGCTTCAGCCTGCCACTCACACACCGCGTGCACTTCACATGTCAGCAAGGCGCGCAAGCAACGCATGCCAGCACTGGAAGGCAACACGGGCAGAGGTAGTGGGGACTGATGGAGTGTGGCAAGGGCGCGGTGGCACACACACACACTCACACACCTGTTGCGGACCTCGCCCCTGTCGTAGCCCTGGCTGTGACCCTTGGGACCCAGGGCTCCATGCAGCTGCACTCACACACACACACACACACACATACGTGCACACACGCACAGGGAGAAGCAACGGCAGGGCGGTAAGGTGAATGTGCATGCGACAGCGGGCTCAAGGAGGCAGATGCAAGCAGAGGCGAGGTGCAGCAAGCAAAAAGTGGGTGACTCAGAAGTGCTGGGAAACAGGCGCTCAGAAGAAATGGAGGTTTCGGTAATAGAAGCAGAGACATGGATGGGGCGGGGGGGAGGGCGGAGGGATTGGCGAGGAGAGCATGCCTTGGAGAGGGCGAGCGTGGCGAAGGACTGGGCGCTGCGCTCCTGCTTCTGCTTGAAGGACTGCGTGCACTTGAACGGCGAGTCAGAGCTGCAGGGGAGGGCGCATGGGGTGCACGGGGCAGTGGTGAGGCGAGTGAGTGAGGCCCGCGGCACGGAGCAGCCTGAAGAAAGCCACAAGCCACGGCCTCAGCTGATGGCCAATCTACGTTTCACCAGGCCGTGCGTTTGCATGATGCATGGCTGCCCGAGCACGCAATCAGAATGAGTGTTGAGGTGGGGGGAGCAGACGCATAGTGGAGCGCGGCAGGCAGGCAGGCAGGCAGGCAGGCAGGCAGGTGGGTGGCACGCACAGGTGGTTACAGATGTAGCAGAAGTTGTTGACGAAGAAGAGCATCTTGGTCATGTCGTCATGGCACCGTGCAGCCTTGGCCTCCAGGTTCGCCTCCAGCGCCTCCAGCACCTTCATGCCCACCGCCTCCACGCTGCTTCGCTCAGGGAAATGCTCCTCTATCGCCGCCTGCAGTATGCACCCGTAGCTGCCCACTATGTTCCTGCCACGGGTACAGGCGCCGCACAGCAAGTGGATTGAATGAAACGGACATCAGTGCCGAAAAACGATTTCACTCACAGCAATGATGCACTGACTCACTTGCCCATCGCCTCTCACTTGCCCATCGCCTCTCACTTGCCCATCGCCTCTCACTTGCCCATCGCCTCTCACTTGCCCATCGCCTCTCACTTGCCCATCGCCTCTCACTTGCCCATCGCCTCTCACTTGCCCATCGTCTCACTCACTTGTCCATGATCTGGCGCACGTAGTTGACGACATAGCTGGTGATGGGATGCACGGTGGCGTCCACCTGCCCCTCGCCACTCGTCTCCATGCCCTTGCTGCTCCGACTCAGCCTGCTCACACCCACCAATGCCATCAAGGCATGCCATATCAGTGTTGCAAATGGCAGGGTGTCAGATGATACCATCGCAGCTCACCACTAACAGTGCCACACTATAATCGTGTGTACCATGGTCATCATCAGCATGCATTCCCCTGGTTAACGGCCAGCAGCCCTCAGGCGAAGCCACAGGGTCAGGGAGACAGCACCAGAGATCTAATGCCACAACACATCCCACATGTCATGGTCCTGCCTGGCCGTACCATCATGCCACTCCAATTCCGTACCCCCCCCTAACCCCCACCATCCACGCACGCCAGTACCACCCCATCTCACCCCCACCCGTGCACGCATGCCCACGTGTGGCTGGCATGGCACGGCACGCACCTGAGGCGGTGGCCAACGGAGCGCTTGGCCATGGAGGCGGAGGTGCCAGCGGACGCCTTGAGCACCTGCACGACCTCGTCAATGCAGCTGGTGGCAGCGCGCGCCAGCTTGCCCGGCAGCTCCACCCACATGGCCGCCAGCGCCGTGTCCTCCGCTGCCTTGGCCGCCTCCTCCACCTGCATGCCCAGGCAGCACACGGGGGCAACCATAGCACCCACACACACAACAAAACCACAGACAACGCACAGGGTCGCCCCACAATATCCGTTTTAGGGTAGACTTTCAATGCATGCACCCCTGTTTTTGACTCGTCTCCCTTTGTGACGGGGTTGAAATGACAAGGATGGGGAGGGGGCGCACCGAGGCGACGGAGGAGCGGCAGAGCCAGAAGGCGTCGAGGTAGGCGAAGAGCTTCTCAGGCAGGCACGGCGTGGCCAGCAGCGCGTTGGCGTTAGAGGCCTGCACCCGTAGCGCCGCCACCAGCCCCGAATCCGTAAGCAGCGTGGTGAACACGCTCAGCGTGCCCACGCCCAGGCGGCCTATCACCGACGCAAAGAGCGCCCTCTCCCCGTCCAGATGCACTGCCACCTGCTCTCCCATGAGACGGGCGGCCACGACAGCACACACACGGGGCGCACAGGATGGCGCTCAGCGTGCATGCTGGCACACACAGCATGTGCTACAGATGGCATGGTCAGCAGCACATGACAAGGCCCGCAGCACCAGCGGGCAGCAGCAGTGCACTCTGGTGAGCAACCCCACTGCACCACACCAATCGCATCAACTTCCATGGCATGCAAAAGCCCACCCAAATTCTGGATGCACTCATCCGACACCCTGTCATAACATACCCCTCAACAGCACCTTATCCCCCCTCCTTCCCCCCCCTCCCCCCAAGAGCTTTTCCCCCTGGCTCCCCCTGGCCCAAGCCTCCCCCCCCCGTCTTACCAGAGCATGCGTGTGGTGCAGCCATGTGCGCAGCACCTGCTCCATGTCGCCCCACGGCAGCGCCTGCAGGTCGCGCCCCTCCAACGCCTCCACCGCCAGCACACTCACCGCGTCCTTTAGCACCGCCAGACGCGCACCCCTGCGAGCACACAGACACACGCACGCAGCACACACAGCACAGCACAACACACAGAGCACACACGGCACAGCACAGCACACAACGGGGGAAAGGGACGCGTGGCAAGGTGGGCAAGCTGCAGTGTCAGGGAACCGTGAGTGAGGGCACGACACGCCCCCCCTAGTCCCCGGCACTACTCCTCACTGTGTGGGAGCGTGAGCAGCAAGCAGTGTGTGTGCGAGCACGAGCAGCAAGCACGGGAAGTGATGGATGGGAGGGCACCTGTACGCGTCGCCACATTGCGCCAGGCTGCCGTCCTTGGCTATCCGCTTCGCCAGTCCGTACAGCTGCTCCCACTCGGGGCAGGTCAGCAACGCGCTGCCGCTGCCGCTGCCCCCCCCACCGCCCTTCTCCTTATCCTTATCCGACGCGCCCTTCTGCCCCTGCTGGTTGCGTGGCAGCGGCGGCCGGTTCGAGTGCGCGCCACCAGGCCCCGGGGCCCCGGCGGAGCGGAACAGCTTCATGCTCACGGACCGCCCCACTGCGCGCAGCCGCGCCGTCGAGTCCTTGTCGCGCTCTCGCGCGGCCGCCAGCGCGCGGTCGGGGGAGGGCAGCGCGGTGACGGGCGGGGAGGAGGGCACGGACTGGGCAGCGCGCGGGGCGACGCCTGTGAAGGACACGGGCGCCTTGCTGTGGTGGTCGGAGCGGCGCGGCGGCAGGCCCATGTTGAGCGACGAGTGCGTGGTGACGGTGGTGCCCGCGTCCGACGGCGTGTCCAGCACCAGTATGTTGGGCGACGACGCTCCCGAGTGCTCCGGCGACGGCCCCGCCGCCACCCTCGCCATCTCGTCGCTCAGCGACTCCTCGCCCTCTTCCTCCTCCGCCTCCTCCCCGTCCGCCCCGTCATTACCCGTGCGGTGCGGGTTGAGTCTGGTTTGCGCGGGCGCGGACGAGAACTCGCTGAGCATGGGGTCGTCGAAGAGCGAGCGCGGGGGGGCGCGCGAGGGGGAGGAGAAGGGCGAGGAGGCGGAGAAGACGTCGGGGGTGAATTGGCGCGGCATGGAGAGCTGGCTGTCGTCCAAACACTGCTCTTGCGGGGACAGGCGGGAAGAGGGGGAAGCTGCGGCGGACGACGGGCGCACAGTGACCCGCCCACACGCGCTGGCAGGGCGGCGGGACCAATCCGTGACGTTGCGAATGCGGCGCTCCCATTGGCTCTCGCCCTCGCCCTCCCGCTCCCCGTCCGCCAGCGTCGAGTTGGGCGACCGCGACGGCAGCAGCAGCCCCACGGCCGCTGCGTCGTCCGCCAACCCTGCCGCCTCCGCCGCCCCCTCGCTGCGCGCCTCCTCCTCCGCACCCGCCTGAAACAACTTGCTGCTCGCATGGCGGACAGCAGGCACGCAAGAGAAGGTGGGGAGGAGGGGGGAGAAGAGGGTAGAACGAGGAGGGGTAGAAAGAAGGCGTTCAGAGAAGAATAGGGAGCAAGAACCATTGACGAGTGCGTGAGACATCGCGTGGCGTGGCGTGTATCGGAACGACGTTTATCGAGCTAACCTGGATGCATCAGCGAGAAGGGAGAAGCGGGAAGAAGCATGGAGTTGAGATAGAGAAAGCAGTAACGGATGGGAGGAGGATCGGACAGCGGCGGGCGCACGAGGCATAGCAAGTCACCAGGGCGTGGCATGAGCAGGAAGCGAGGGGACGATACGCACTGGGAGCTGGTTAGTAGTTGCGCAAAGTCCGCGAGGAGCTCGTCTAGTCCGGCATCAGGCGACGCTGACGCCAGCGCTGGTGTGGGCGTGGCAGTCGCGGTGGCGGCGGAATGGTCCTCCATGCTCCAGGGCTCGCAGCTACCGCCGCTGCCCTCGCTGGGCGCCACGCTGCTGCCGCCCGCAAACGACTCGTCCTCGTCCGCCTCCTCCCGATCCCACTTCGGAACCTTCGGTCTGCGATGGCGCGCGCGCTGCTACACGTAGCGAGGGAAATAAGTAGTGGCGGGCAGGTAAAATCAAGGGTTTGATGACGTCGCACCCAGAGGAGAGGCGCTTAGGTTAAAGAACTCGTCTCTAAGCGATTTGTGCATCAACAATCTAAGGACGCACCTGCACATTACACCTCCGGGGAAAGTAGTTATACATACACAAAAAAAAAAAAAAAAAAAAAAAAAAAAAAAAAAAAAAAAAAAAAAAAAATCCTTTCCATGTCATGAAAGCGCATGATTACTGGCCTTTGACGTGCTGCCCGAGCGGCCAGTAAATGCGCCTGCGTGGCGCTAGGTGACTTAGGCGCAGGTGGCGTGGCAGGGTGACTAACCTCACTACTGTCGACTGCTCCAGACCCCTTCACGCGGCGCGGAATGCACGTCGGCTGCGACGGGGAAGGCGGCGAAACAGAATGTGGGGAAAGCGCGGAGCAGTCGGGATCGGTGGGCAGCGCAGCGGGCACAACGGAAACTGGTGGGGTTCGCGCAGGGATGCGCTCTGCCATGCAGACAGAAGCGATCCGCAAAGAGCCGTCGGAGTCGACGGCAAGTGTGGTGGTAACAATCTGTCAAATAAATATTGTTAAGGAGCAGTGGCGATGATAAACCACTTTTCGTCTCTAATGCGCATCCGATGTGTCTCAACGGCCCCTAGGAACTACCTAAGGAGTTGTATAACACTATCTAACAGCTACAATGATATCGATATGTCGCAAGCGCGCCTGATAATGCTGAAAGTCCAGATTACGTGAAATGCAAGCGGCAGCTCCTGCACGGTTCACAATAAGACGGGCGCTAAAGGACGGCGTACAAGATGCGCGTCGGCGTAAGTCGCGCTGATTAGTTACTTGGAAACAACGGCGCGCTGTAGCTGATCCTAACCTATAGTCGGTGATGTCCCAACAGCTCTATTCACACTAATTTTGAAGAGCCCCAAACCTGTGGACCTCAACCACGCGTGAGTCACTGCGCTGTAGAGAGGCGGCAAGGGCGGAGAAATAGGAGGGTTGGTGAGGGGAGGAGGAAGAGGGGAAGAGGGGAGAGTGAGTTGGGGTGGGGTGGTGGTGGGCCCTGGCTGGGTGTGCATTCCACGCAACACAGGTTGCGGAGCAGAGCAGCATTCTCCAAACCATCATCAGGTGGCCTGCGATGTCAACGATACACGAAATACTCCAACGACTCTCTCGAAATTCGCAAAAATGCTGTCGACGCGAACCAGTAACCCTCTCGGGTTTGTTGTGGGGTTATTGTGGTGGTGAACGGAAAGTACCACGTTGAGGAGCGAATCGGTTCAGGACTGCGGACAAGGTACAGCAGTTCCACTTGAAAGTTCACCTGTCAACTTCCTAGGCTCGGCTGGATGTATGGAATGGCTCTTTCGTTCACACCCATTCAAAATCCAGTTACGACTGCCGATGTCTGTACATTCCTGTAATGTATATGATATTAAAAAAAAAAAAAAAACACCCATTCAAAATTGCGGTGCAGCACAGACCCTTTTTTTCGCTGACTTTCGTACACGCCCTCGATGCCAAACTGCAACTTGCGTCCGCGATGCTGCTTGGAAAGGAGCAGCAGATGGCATCCCCTCCCCATCGATTTGGCCTGACTGACAGGCGTTGTTCCGCAGGCGTTTAGGGTTCCGCACCAATTTGACCGCGGTAGCCTTCCGTGCATTTTCTAGGCGCATTCATGCTGGTTGCGTTGCGCGGATGTTGCTGCCTCGCATAACATGTGCGGAGGCTGATGCTAGCTCCCGAGGTAGAATTAGCACCGCACTAGTTGTGCGGCCATTTGCCCGGCGAAGCAACAACTTCGAGCCTGCAGACGGTTAAATTCGTGCGCCCCAAAAGTGGCGTTCTGCAGGCTGATGCGTTAAATTTGGCGCAAAAAGGCTCGGCAGGACCTTTCTTATCACCAAACCTTGATAGGCAGAAGAACACTTATCAACGAAGATTCTGCGGACCCAGTTTTTGGGATTTTAACGCCTACAGAACAGCGCCAGTGTGAGGGAATCAGCCAGCCTACAATTTCGCACAGCGCCTTGTGGAGTGGCTGAAATTGTAACACTGGAAGGGGGTGGGGAGGAGAACAGGGTTTGGTTCTCCCAACCAACCCCCTCTTCTTTGTGGGGTGTTCAACCAGAGAGTTGAGAGTTGTTGTTGTCAGGTGACACAAAACTGTTCTCTAAACATTTCCAGGGAAGGGCCTCAGATTGGTTTCGGGCTAGGCTGAAAGATCAGAGTTGGTACAAAATTCCATGCTGAAAAACAGAGAAATCAGCCCATTTTATGCCATTTTACACTACAAATATAGTAAAAATCCTGTTTCTTCCCAAAAAAATGCTGAAAATTCAGCCTCAATTCTAAATAAGGTCTGAAATCTCAGCCTTTTTTACCTAAATCAGCCTCTTTTCGCTGACTTCTGAGGCCCTTCACACCGGAGGCAAACTTTTTCCTACAGAACCAACAGACAGCTAGCAGCTTGCTCATTCGCATCTGCTGTTTGGAACGCGCCCTCACCACAAGCAGATGATTGCCTATTCGTTCCCCCTCCATGCTTCTACCCCATCAAACAAGTCCCTCTAGCCCTGCTGATATCTATTCCCAGAGCAGCACGCAGCAGCATGCGTGTGAAGGTCAAGCGCGTTCGTCAGCCCTGCCATCCCGGTCGCCCACAGCGATGAATGCGGTGGCGGCACAGATGAGCACGGTGCCCGCTGCACTCTTGAGGGAGAGGCGCTCCGACAGGAAGAGCAGCCCCAGGAAGAATGTGCCCACCACCTGGTAGTGCCAAGGGGGGGCAGGAAGCATGCAGCACGTGTGATTGCTGCTCATGGCCATACCACAGAGGGCAACCCGAGTATGCTTGACTGCAGTGGCGCATGATAGTGCACAACCCACATGCCACCCAGAGCACGGAACACACAGCACAAGGAGAACCAAACACATGGCACGTAGGCACAAAACGCACGGCACATGGGGCACAAAATGCATGGCACACAATACATGCACATGGGGTACACGGCACCTGGCAAATGGGGCACCAGCATATGGCACATGCAGCACACATCACATGGCACATGGGGCACAGCATGTGGTCACCTTGATATACTGCATTGCTGACGCCCTGCCTGCCTTCTCCAGCTGCAGCCCACGTGTGAGTAGTACCTGCGAGCAACGAGCAAGTGCACGGAGGACGGAAACTTGAACCCGAAAAAATGGGAGAGATGATGAAACTAAACTCGACAGAATGTGCCGTTCAAGCGCAAGTAATGCGCTTGCCCAAGTAATGGCCAAGTAATGGCCAGCAGCACACAGCAATAAGGTGAGGAGTGGAAGCAAAGAAGCGGCAGGCCTCACCTGAGCGGCGAAGGCGGTGACACCCACAAGCAGCATGCCCACCAGCTCCGATGCTGATGGCATCACAAACCCCTGCACAGATGGGAAGGGGCAGCACCCCCAGAGTTCTCAGGAAGCGAAAGACACGGAGGGAGACAAGGAGCAAAAAACCTGCTGCACAGACAACGTTTTCAAGCGGAATCAAAGCCATATAATGAGAAATTATGATAGAGAAGGCAGAGGCATGGGCTGGTGGAACGAACGACAGCACAGGCGAGGAAGAGAAAGGACCTGGAAAAGAAGGAGACAAATGAAGGACGCTGGGCAGGAGAAGGCTGCAAAGACGAAGACAACCGCCCTGAACACATTGGCAGGCAACAGGGGAACGCCACACAGGTAAGATGGTTGAATTCTAAAACTGATGAAACGACGAGAAATAAAAAGACACAATACAGGGCCACAGCGGCCAACAGCATACTTCCGTAGGGTCTACTTGGTGCCACAACTGAGTGGGGTTGGAGAACAACTAGAGGCAAACTAGGGATGGTGAGACGAGCAAGCAGGCATACAGTGGTTGCTCCCCTGCCTTGCCGATGCTGCGCACGAGGCACAGAGCCACGGCCCCCACCAGCGCTGCCAGCAGCGCCACCAGCACCCCCACCAGACTCTCATGGCGCTGCGATGGGTCGTCCTGCTGTGTCAGTGGGCCTGATGGCCACACGCAGCACACAGAAGAGGGCCGCATCGTGCAGGATCACAACACGGAGGGGTGCTCAGAAAGTGCAGTGAAAGGAGAGGAAGTAGGGCACATGGTGTGAGGTGAGGGATGGCATAACAGTTGCAATATCACCTGCATGCTTGTACCCGACCATGAATCAATATGAAGGAACAATTGAGAAGCAGCATTGAAAGCAGCAAAACGATGGGTGCTGGGCTTGGAACATACCTCCAAACACAATGGGGGGCTGGGTAACCATGAGCACGCCCAGAAGACAGCACGCAGAGCCTGCACGAGGGATGTCGGCACACAACCCATGAGTAACGAGGCGATCCAGCGGAAAAGGCAAGTAAATCACTCCCAGGCGTGAACAGAAGACGAGCACAGGGTAGTGCTGTGCTATGTGCGCGTGTGCAGTTGCCATACAGGTGCTCTACTCGCGTGTTTCCATCTCTCAGCCATTCGGCATCACGGTGCGGACCTGCGATTTCTCTGGAGGTGAACTTCTCGTCGAGGAAGACACTGGCGATGATGGCCGTGAACACTGGCAGCGTGAAGCTGATCAGCGTGGCGTCCCTCAGCGGCAACACCTGGATGCTGCACCCACTCGCCACAGGCAGATGCAGTTGGGGGGAGAAGGAGAGGGAGAGAGGGAGAGAAAGAGGGCTATGCAGGGGAAGAGAAATAACAAAGAGCAGCTAATGCCTATGAGCACTAATAGAGTGTGTGTGGAGTGTGGCACAGAACGCAGGCGAACCTGTAGAAGAAAGCAGAGAGGGCGATGAAGCCAAGCACAGCACGTGCGAGCAGCAGCAGGCGAAGCGTGGGCGCGCCGAGCAGCGGGTGGCCAATGCGGTGCAGGCACAGGGCGGAGAGTGCCGCTATCACAGCGCACCGCACAAACACCGTCTCAAATGACGGGATCGCGTGCACTGCATGGGGCAGTGGGGGACCGGGTAGGGCAGAAGGAGGGAGAGGGGGGAATGAGGAGGGAAGGGGGGGAAAAGGGGAGGCGATGAAGGTCCTGAGGCCCCGTAACTATAGCTTGCTGTGTTGGACCTGAACTGGTGCGCCCAGGCTAGTGTGCTTGGCCTTGCATCGCCGCTCACTCTCTTCCGACGTCAGAAACACTCAACGGGAAAGAGCAGGGCAAGGGAGTTGGGAGGAGGCGAGGGCGGTAGGACGTGCGTGTGGGCGGGAGGAGGGGGGGGGAAAGGGGGGGAAGGAGGCGCGCGGAACCTGAGAGGAGTTTGACGAGCAGGCCCATGAAGCTGAAGAGCAGCGCGGACGTGAGCATGCACAGCAGCCCCGCGTGCGGCGAGCCCCCCCACAGCCACCAGAAGTTCTCCCGCACGTTCCACCCATCCTGCGAGCACCCGCCGTGCGCCCCGCCACCGCGGCTCCGCCGCTTCTCGTGCTTCTCCGCGCGCTCCTGCCACATAGCGGAGAGAGGCCCGCAATGAATGAGGCGGGAGCGCGGAGCGGAATGTGGGACGCGACGAGCATTTGGGGCATGGATACGAGATGCGCGTCGTGAAAGGCGAGCGAGGGTTCACTAAAAGCCATGGCGGACCAATCACCGTGCCAAGCGCAGTGTAGCGCAGGTTTTCTAGCGCTAAGCGTGCTACACCCGTAGGGTGGAAACGCGATCACGCCGCTGAAGAATTGACGTTTTATTCATCACTTTCTCGTAAAAGTCTTAGACTTGATTACTCGCGCGGCCACCGCCGCCCGCAGCAGCGCTCACCTTGCCGCCGGAGTGACGCTGCGTGGAAACGCGGCCGCGCTCCTCGTCCGCCTCCTGGCGGCCGTCCTCCAGCAGCGTCACCATCTCCTCGCCCTCCCCCGCCGTCGGCATCAACGCCTCGCTGCCTCCACCCGGCGGCCGAGGCGACGCCGCAGGCGCGCTGGAGCCCACTGGAGCGAGCATGGCGGATCGCGCACGAGATGGGAGAGTCGAGTTGGATTAGCGTATCTCTAACTGGCGTCAACCCCACCCAAGGTCTATGATTTGAACGGATTTGGCGGTACTTGTCAGGCTCAGAACTAGAGAGTCGAGACTGAGATCCCACACCCCCGTGTTGCTTGTGTGACGTGTGGTTACCTCCACGACAGCCACAACTTCGGCATCACTTCGCTATGTGCTGGCGAAGTAACAAGATGCACCCAGAGGTTAGGTTGTCTTGTGGTTTCTGAAAAGGTGTACGTATCCAGTACACAGGCTTTCAATATGCCGCAAGTTGCGGCTTTACTCTGATTTTCAGCGTGTATCAACTCCGTTTTTTCAGCCTAGCCCAAAACCAATCTGAGGGCCAGAACATGAAATGAGCTTGAGTTAAAGCCCAAAACCTGAATTGTTCAACGGAAGTCAACTGTAGGTAAAACTCTGGGGCGCGGCAGGCAAACTGTGCACAGTCTGCCCTCTTTTTTTGTAATTCAGATTTTAGGCTTTAAGATCAAAGATGTCATAGGCTTTGTGCTTGTTGCTCAGCTCATCAACAGTGGAGAGGTATTTTTGCACGGGTGTTTTACAGTGGAGACATATTTTTGCAACAATCATCCCTGGCTACAACTCAGCTCTGCTGCTGCAGCAACAGTTAGGTACCACTCAAACCCACTGCCGCGGGTTCCTGCAAGCATCCAAAAGCTCCGCCTCTGGAGTGCCAGCAGCAGGCTCCTGTAAAGGCAAAAAGCAGATGGTCAATAGTGTCAATGACTGCATGTAAATATGCAAATTCTAGCTGCTTACCTGGTTGTACTCCCATCGAGCCGTAAGGGGCAAGCTCATTAGGATGCTCTCAATGCGACCTCCCGTCTTAAGGCCAAACGTTGTGCCACGGTCATAGACCTGAGGCATGAGACGAGATCAGCAAGGTGAGGCTTACAGGCATGAAAGAATCTCAACAGTTGTGTCACCGGCTGGTGCTCAGTCTTACCAGATTAAACTCAACATAACGGCCACGGCGAAGCTGCTGCCACTGCTTCTGCTCCTCCGTGTAAGGAGTATCTTTGCGCTTGACCACCAGTGGGACGTATGCAGGCACCACTGCAGCGGAGCACTCTGGAAAAAAAAAAAAAAACAAAAAGCCATTTCCACTTGAGGAGTGCAGGTACGGGTGCAGGTACGATATCATGCGTTCACTTCAAGAGGACACTTACCTTTCGCAAGGTTGAAGAGCACATCTGGGTCATGCTGGTTCATGTCATCGTAGAAAATCCCTCCACATCCTCGTCGTTCACCACGGTGCTGCATGTGAAAGGTGAGGCGTAGGACAATTTCGTCAATCGAAATAAACACAACCACAAGCGCGGAAGATGCTGAGGGAGAGGCAGGCATGAGAGATGGTGGAATAAGGTTGAAAGACGGAAGAGCAACGGAGGAAGGAGTGAGAAGTGGATGAGAGCGCGGCTGAGTGCGAGGCGAAAGGGGGAGAGAGTGAGTGGGAGAAGGGGGCGGCAAAACAGTGAAGGAACGAGGAGGGAGGGAAGGGAAGGGGGGCAAGGGAGGGAGAGGGGGAAGGTAGGGTAGGGACATTGAGAAAAGAGGGGAGCGAAGAGTCAGGAGTGAATGGCGAGGGGGAGGGTGTGCGGAATGGGGAGGGGGAGGGAGCGGAACGGGAACGAATGTCGACAAACGGGTTAGACAATTTAGTACGAGTGACAACTCATAAGTTTTGCCGAAGTTGTTGCTTAGAGAATACACTGCAAATCCAATATCGCGATTTTGAAGTCCTTTTAGTCAATCATAAAATATTGACAGGTTCAGTTGTTGTTTGTGAAGTCATGCTTGGTGTTTCGCTACAAGGAACAGCAAGACAAGATAGAACGGATAAAATACGTAATAGAGCTACCTTAATCAGGAAGTACTCATCGCAGGCCTTCTTAAATTGCGGATAAAAGGAAGTGTCAATTTTATCGCATGCCTCCTTTTGCAGCTGCTCAAGAACCAGAGATAATAAGTTAGAAACCAATAGCATAACATTAGACGAACGATAAAAATCATGAACAGGGAGAGGTGATTTACCCCATGGAAATGCTTCATATCCTCCTCAAAGAGATACGAGGGAGTGATATCCGTTCCACCACCAAACCACCACGCCCGGGGGGCATCCTTCGCTCCTGCATTGTGAGAGCGTTGCGGTTAATCCGAGCAGAGAGAAGCATCAACTAGAACGTCCAAATAATCCCTAGACGCACCAGCAGGCGCGTCAGTTTCGAAATAACGATAGTTGAAGTGCATAGTAGGAGCGAACGGATTCCATGGATGCATGACCTGCACAAGAAAAGGAGCAATTGAGTAAGTGCCCACATAAAATGTCGACGAATAAAGATCGAAACGAATCAGAACGGAACAAAAAAGCAGAGATTCTTACAGAGCTTATCCCGCAGGCAAAGAAAGGAATTCGTCCGTCGCCAGTGGAGCTGGCATCAGACGGAGCAGACTCGCCCGTGGCAGCACGGTAAGCCTCACGGGGCATAGTGCCGTAAACGACAGACACATTGACACCCGCCTTCTCCCACACATTGCCATTCTGAAGAACGCCGCTAATCCCGCCACCACCACCAGGCCTGAAGCAAACGTCCACTTTTATTAATAGAGCCACTAAAGAGAGAAAGGACGCCTTGCTTCTTTCAAGTTACTTACCTCATCCATGCGTCCTTGCGAAACTTCTTTCCGTCGACTTCCTCAATGGCCTTGATAATCGAGTCCTGGGCGTTGAGCACCAGGTTCTCGAAGCGAGCGCGCATGTTGGATGGATCGGGTTTTTTCCAATCGCGGACCTCCCCTTCCTTCAACAACGTGAGAGGAATTTCATCCAAAGCAACTTCCTTCTCAATTCCAACAGCAGCTACGATACTCGCCTTGTTAACGGCGCATCTGGAGCCTGCGACGCGAGAGGTCGCTTGAAAGACCCTCTGGAAGGAGCCTGAACGCGTGAAAGAAACGGCTTCATGGCGACGCGTATGCTTTTTGCTGGAATCGATCAAGCTAGAAGCTGAAACAGCCAAGCTGGTGGAGGAAGCGGCAGTGGCAGCCATGGCTGGTTATTGTGAAAAATCCTTCTCAAACCTGAACGGATGACGAAGACTATCCAAGAAAAATCTGGGACTTAGAGCTAGCAGCAACGTCTGAGCCAAAGCAGCATTTAGTACGCCACGTGGCTCATACGATCAGGCCATCTCCAAGACGCGAAATTTGCGTGCTGCGTTGTCACCCTAAAGGTGACGTGTGCTCCAGCTAGCGAATGGCGCGTCTACAGAACAAGCAAAGCGCAATCTAAGTTGACAGTTTGTCGGAAAGTTATCACCTGTGAAATCATCCACCAGCTAATATCACACTTGTTTTGCCAGTGTCAGGAATTATGATATCACAATTTACAGTCACAGGGCCTGTAACAAATTCAGAATATTCCTACCCTTACAACAAACTTCTACACCATTTCCTTCTCATTCATTTATGTCTACCTTCCCCTTTTCCACTTTCTGTCTAGGATCATGTGATGTACGATTAAATTAAAATTTTACGCTTACAAAATTATATACCAGGCATCAACCGTTTTGTTACAATAAGGAACCGCATCACGCATTTCCTGTACGTAACACGAAAAGAATCTACCAAGAATCGGGACGAGCCGGAAGTCAAATACGATTACCACCAAGACTGATGCTGGCATAAACAATTTAAAATGAATTCGTGGAAACTTTTGCAATTTCTGCAACGACTATCAATATTGGAGAAATGATTCCAAATTTGGCGAAGTGGCTGTCAGAATGAGGAATAAGTGTTGCATTGATGTTGGTTGGGGTACATATGACAAACCCTAACTTCTGTACCCCCTAAGACAAACCTCACTACAGGCTACAACATTTGACACACCCCCATAGCCTAAGTGAGGGGTGTCTAGCAAAAACAAAAAGAGTACGGTCACAAGACCAGTCCAAAAGAAAACAAAGCTCAGGATGGATCACAACGTCACCACACACTCTGAGCACAAGCAACAGTGGCCACAAGGCCAGTCCAAGAGATCACAAGTATATATAGTAAATGTACAGACGAAGCAGGCAATAAACTCAAGTCTACGCATGACTAGAACCTGTGTCAACAAGGCCTAACTGCACACAACACCTCTGGTGGTCACAAGGCGGAAGCGCCTTGGTGAAGATGTCTGCAGTGTTGGCCTCGGACTCTACGAACTCGAAGCGAGCCTGTCCACGCCTCTGCAACTCTCGCAGAAGAAAGTACCTGATGTGAATGTGCTTCACTCTGCTCTCCAGTCGCGGCTCACGACAGAGGAGGATCGACGCCTTGTTGTCAGTAAACAAGGTCGGTGCAGAGCTCGGCCGCTCACCAAGGTCAGTGAGCAAGAAGGTCAACCACCGCAACTCCTGTGCCGCCATGGCACCAGCGTAAATCTCAGCCTCAGCTGTAGAGGTCGAGACAGAAGAGGAGCGCGTGGAACGCCAGGAAACAGCTCCAGAACCCAGACTGAAACAGTACCCCTGAGTAGACCTGTGAGTCTCAGCGTCGTCAGCGTAAGAGGAGTCACAGTGACCAGTGAGTACGACAGACTGCTGCCCTCCAAGAACTAGCCCCACGCCTGATGTAGTCGCTAGGTACTTCGCCACCCTCACAGCTGCCGTCCAGTGAACAGGACGGTGTCTCCCTGGCGCAACAAAGCGCGCAAGGATGCTGAGAGGGAAGGCGAGGTCCGGGCGAGTACAAGTCATCAGGTACATGAGGCAACCCACAAGCTCTGCGTAGGGACCACTAGGCTCAAACGGCTCGTCAGGAAAGGGACCAGTGAGTCTGTGGTCAACAGCTAGAGGTGTGCGCTGTACGGTGGAGTGCTGAAGCCCGAACCGCTGAAGGACCTGCTGCACCATGTGTGACTGTGAGAGTGTAATGGTGCGAGCGGCTCTGTCCCTGGTGATCTGCAGGCCAAGGTAGTGGCGCAGTTCACCAAGATCAGTGCACGTGTGTCTCTTCTGCAGTTCGGACTTCACGTCTGCCAAAGCAACCCTGTCCGGAGTGGCGAAAACGAGGTCGTCGACGTAAACCAGAACAAAGAACGGTGTGGAGCCACGACGAACGAACAGCGACGGGTCGGCAGAAGACGGCTGGAACCCAAGGTCAGAGAGGGTAGAACGCAGAGTGTCGTGCCACTCACGAGGGGCCTGGCGAAGACCGTAAACAGGTCGCCTCAGCCTCCACTGGGTCCCAGGAGGGAAGGTGCCAGTGAAGGCCGAGGGACGACGCAACCAGACCTCCTCGTGTAGGCTGCCCTGAAGGAAAGCAGTGGAGAAGTCAAGAGAGTGTAACTCGTAGTCTCTCTGTGCTGCTACGTGTAGTAACACCCGAAGAGTGGTCATCTTCGGGGTAGGTGCGAAGGTCTGAAAGAAGTCAACTCCCTCGCGCTGACTGAAACCTCTAGCCACGTAGCGCGCCTTGAAGACCGGGGGAGATCCCGGTGGCCGCTTCACCCTGTAGATCCACATGCCGTCGACTACGTTCGCCCCCGGGGGGGGAACCTCATCGACGTAGGTGCCTGTGGATCTGTAGGAGGCCATCTCTGCGTCCATGGCAGCTCTCCACTGAGAGGCCCAAGGCCCTGACACTGCCTCAGCGTAAGTGCGAGGAGTCGGAATGTCAAGGGCGTCGGGGTCACCCTCAGGGGCGAGGAGCATGGCACAGAGATGAGGGGAAGCGGCCGCCAGGAACTCTAGCTCAAACTGCCTGTCCTCTAGGGCGTCACGGCCAAGGGCAGACACACCCCCGACGGCCAGAGGACTGGTAGGAGGAGCAGCCACAAGCGTGGTGGCGTAGTCAAGGCGGCGGGTAGAGGCAAAGTCAGTAACTGCGGCAGTAAGAGCGGACACAGAGGACACAGAGGCACGAGGGTGAGTAACAAGAGAGGCGAGAACACGAGAGAGAACAGGACGGTACGTGCGGTAGTAGTCAGTGACAGGAGTAGGGAGCGACACAGTGAGGGCCGACTCAGGAGGAGACGGAAGCACAGACTGAGACGGACGAGGTGGACTAGAAAGAAGGAAGGCAGTACGAAGGTCAGTGAAGGGAACAGGAGACGAGGGACGAGCACGAGGGGAGCGACGAGTAGCCCAAGAACGAGACGGAGGAGAAGAGGACAAGGGCGGAGAACTGGGGAAAACAGCGGGGGAGGAGTCAGGAGGAGGAAACGTGGGACCGTAGACAGGAGGAGAGGCGCAGGAGGGAGGAGAAGGGGAGGGGAGACCAAGGATCCGAAGACCCGAGACAGGAGGAGGAAGTGGCTGCTGCTGCTGCGGCTGCGACTGCTGCTGCTGCGGACGCGGCTGCTGCTGGGACTGCTGCTCCTGCGGGTCCAGCTGCTGCTGCTGCTCCTCCAGCCGCTGTAACTCCCTCTCCTCTCTCTCCAACGCCAGCTGATCGTCACGGGCACGGCGAACACGAGCCTGGTGCCTAGTCGGGTAGGGGTGGGGGGGCGGAGTAGTGTCCGAAGCAGCGGCAGCTCCAGAGTCCACTCCAGAAGAACTAGGCTCACCACCCCCAGAGGCAGCACTAACACCAGCTCCAGACCCAGGCTCACCTGAACCCAAAGGAGGCGCACCCTCACCCCCAGACGCAGCACCCCCAGTGTCCGCGCGGCCAGCACCAGCTCCCGGACGACAAGCGTCCTCTGCACCCACCTGGTCAGCTCCAACTCCAGAACCAGAAACTCCAGCTCCAACCCCAGCTCCAACTCCAGCACCCCCAGAACCAGAAACTCCAGTGCCAACTCCAGCTCCAACTCCAGCTCCAACTCCAGCTCTAACTCCAGCACCCCCAGAACCAGAAACCGGTACAGGAACAGGCGTCGCACCAACCTCTCGAGAGCTAGCACCAGCGGCACGCTGCGAGGAGGACTGTGGGGAGGGAGGCTGTACCGGAGGGGCTACCGAAGGAGGAGGGGTAGCCTGGGACACACCTGACGGGGCTGGACCAGGGGGGGGAGGCTGTACCGGGGGAGCAGGAGGGGGAACGGCAGTCAGGAAGAGGGGGGGAGGAGGAACCGGGAGACCTCGACTGGGGTACCTGACGTAGTACGGAGCGGACTCCTCGAAACGGACGTCACGGGAGTCAAAGAACCGGTGAGAGGGAGGGTGGTAAAAGGTGAAGTCAGAGGAGTCCTCAGGGAAACCAAGGAAGACACAGGGGACGGCACGAGGCGAGAGCTTGTCCGCGGAGGTGTCGCGGACAAGAGCCAAGCACCCCCAGACACGAAACCGCGACGCAACACCAGGGAACCCTGTCCAAAGACTGGTCGGTGAAACCTCTGGTCGAGAGACACGTGGCCAGAGGTTCAGCTGGTGCGCGGCGTACCTGACCGCGTAGGGCCACAGAAAATGGGGGGCACAGGCGTGAGTCAGGGAGGTGCGGGCGATCTCCATGACCAGGCCTATGCGGCGCTCAGCAACCCCATTCTGCTGTGGGGACTCTGGAAGCGTCCAGGACTGACGAATGCCCTGCTCGCGACAGAATCCAGCGAGAATGCCGGAGCGAAACTCACCCCCACGGTCGGAGTGGAGACAGCTGACACGACGACCACGAGTGTCCTCGGTGGTGAGCAACCACCTGATCAGCGTAGAAGTCACCTCAGACTTCTTCGCCAGAGGGAACACTGTGGTGTAGCGGGAGAAGTCGTCAACGACCACCAGAAAGTAACGCTCACGCTCAGGGCCTAGACGAGGGGCTGGGCCCCAGACGTCCAAGT